GAAGTACACTGCTGAGGTGAGCAGTGGGCCGGTCAGGAGAGGTCTGCTGTGCCCTGTGGGTCACCCCCAGGACCAGGCATGGAACTCATACTGAAGCAGCTATAGCCAGCTTGCAGTGCTGTGTCCTAACCCACTGTGCCACCAGGGAGGGCCCTGATATGAAAAATATTTAAGCAAAAAATTGAAAATCATTCAACAAGTCTTATCAATTGGCATTAAACAATCTAAGAAATAATGATTAAGAAAATCTGTCATTCTCAAGAACTGAAAATATCCACAGAGGCATTCGTAACATGAGATAATGTTTTGGTAATGAACACTGATAGTAAGAACCAGCAGCATTTCCCTGCCCTGTGGTAACTGGCTTCTGTCCCTCCTCCTCCCCTTACTTCCTCCTAGCCAGTCTGGTTCTCAGAGTGGGACTGCCCCTTTGGGGGCTGTGCTTCTCTTTGCCAGAATAGGGAGTGGTGCACAGAGAGGGTGTGGCCGGTTTGAAATGAGATCAGGAATGTGGCTCTCTGTCAACACCTCCCGTCCCCCCACATGACATCATGGACGAAGCCACCTTTTTTCTAAATGGCCCACCCACAGAAATATCACCCTGATGAGCTTCCTTCACAGTCTGCTTCCTGCAAGTACTCCCTGGCAGTGAAGAACTTCTCTGTAAACAGAGACTGGCCTTTGACTAGCACCAAAATTATGTCCGAGCAGAGTGAGAAATATGAACCCACTTACCATCCAGTCAGCAGGTGTTTCTTGAGCATTTACTATGTCCTGGGCTCTACACTGTACACCAAGAATGGAGGGTGAGCAGGCAGATGTGGTCCCTCCCACTCAGAGTTAGGGACCCCAAAGTGGGACTCCCAACCAACGAGCAGTATTAACACCTCCTGAAACTTGTCAGAAAAGATCTCTGCCCCGCCCCATGTGAATCAGACATGTGTGAGCTTTAGCAAGTGCTCCAGGGCACACTGATACAGAATCATAGGTCGAGAGGGGCCTGGTTCCTCATTACTGAGTGTTCTATAATTTTGTGAAATTAAGTAAATCACATCCTGTTTTATTTTCTCTTTACAGAAAAGCTCAGCTTTGAGTTGGACTATGAGCCAGGTGAGTAGCGTGCACACACACACGCACACACACACACTGCTTCCTCTGTAAGTCCTTCCAGAGAGCCCTGAAGAGCTGGCAAACACACCCAGAGCTGGCAGGAATCTCACATTCTGATCTGCACGTGATGAGAGGAGAGAATAGGACAAGGTCTATCAGGAGAGACTTCTGGGATGCTGGGAACTATCAGGGTTTAGAATCCCTCAGAAACTTCTACTCCCTCTCAGGTGCTGTTTCCTAGGTGAGACTTAAGAGGGTGGGCATGTGGGTGGGGAAAGAACGTGGGAATGGACTCCATTCCAGGCAGGTGCCCAGACTCCCAGGGAGGTTAAAGCACCCTGGGAAGGAGCTCTGCTTCTCGAAGGCTTTAATTTTTCTTTTGTTTTTAACTGTTTAGAATTAGCAAGGCAGAATAAATTACCCCAGGAGAGCCAGGAGCCTGCCAGGAGCAAAGACTGACTATTCATGAGTCATTAAGTGCCTGGGGAGAAATGGTGAAGTTTGGACCAAGTGGGAGAATGCCATTGCCTGCCCTGGGAGATAAGAGATATGCAGGGAGCTATGTTTCAGCGGGAGGAGGCGTCCCCAGCAGCCGCACACCCTGGCAGGCCACCGACGGGGACAAGGTGGTCCCTGGAAGCCTACACAGAACGGGGCAGAGCAGGGGTATCCGGCTCCCAGGGCTTGGAGGCAGACACTAACGTGTGCTCAAATCTGCTGCCATCCTGGTAGCAAATGCGGGTTCCGTCTCAGGGCTGAGGTGAAGGCTGACAGTCTATTTCCGGCAGCTTCCCAGGTAGCTATCTGCGCGGCTGGTCCCATCGGCCCTGGCATTGTTATTATCATGCCAACATGCAGCATCCTGGGGAGCTCTAGGCCTTTCCTGAGGGTGATACCATGTCTGCTGACCTGTCCCTTTTGGTTTTTCCCCACAGCTCAGATCTCTCTAGACCTCCAGACTTCTCACCCCAAGCTGCTCCTGTCCGAGGACCTCCAGCGGGCTCGGTTCTCCTATAAATGGCAGAACTCGCCAGACAACCCTCAGCGTTTTGACCGGGCCACCTGTGTCCTGGCGCACGGTGGCTTCACGGGGGGCAGACACACGTGGGTGGTGAGCGTAGACCTGACCCACGGGGGCAGCTGCACCTTGGGCGTGGTGAGCGAGGATGTGAGGCGGAAGGGGGAGCTGCGCATGCGCCCTGAGGAAGGGGTGTGGGCCGTGAGGCTGGCCTGGGGTTTTGTGTCGGCCCTGGGTTCCTTCCCCACGCGGCTGGCCCTGGAGGAGCAGCCCCGGCAGGTGCGCGTGTCGCTGGATTATGAGGTGGGCTGGGTGACCTTTGTCAACGCTGTCACCCAGGAGCCCATCCACACCTTCACCGCCTCCTTCACCCAGAAAGTCTTCCCCTTCTTCGGACTCTGGGGCCGAGGGTCCAGCTTCTCCCTGACCTCCTGAGATGTATAATTCCAGTGTTGTAAGAGAGGATCTTATGGACTTGACCCCAGGTGGGTCACCTGGAAGATCTGGAACATCAGAGGATGTGGTGGAGTCAGGATCTCGGCTGCCCTTCCCTCAGTGCCCAGAGGATGGCAGGGAGTCTGGGGACAGTGCTGCTGCCAGCTCCACTCACCACCAGCCCCCCACATTGAAACAACCATGAGAGGAAGGAACATCCGATTTGGGGCCGGAAGACCCCATTCTCAACCCAGCCTGTGAATCACCCAGTTGTATGATCTTAAGCAAAGCACCTCTCACCTCTCTTCAATTTGTTGCTGTTATTATTATTAGGTTTCATTTTACTCATATCCTCAGGAAACATTTATTGTGTGTTAGCTATAAACCAAGCAGTATGGTAGCTACTGATGTTATGAAATGGACAGAAGAAAATGTGTCCCATATATAAAGGAGCCAATGGGAAGAGACATGGAGAAGAAATGACAACTCAGTCTGATGTTGTGAGAAAGGTCTGACCTGATATCAGTGTGGGGGTGTGACCCGGCCTACGGGCGTGGGAGGGGAATGAGTTGGGATGGCTTTCTGAAGTCTGTTTTTTTAAAGATCTATTTATGCATATAGGTACTGGGATACAGGCCAGAGGTGTGAGGGATCAGAAGATTCACCAGAGACAGAATGGGGAGCAGAACATGCAGAGTGACTGAAATACACTGCTGAGGGGAGCAGTGGGCAGGTCAGGAGAGGTCTGCTATGCCATGTGGGTCACCTCCCCTGCCTGGAGTCGAACTCATGCTGCAGTGGCTGCAAATCACTTCTTAGTGCTGCGCGATAATCCGTTGCACCAGCAGTCTTCCTGAAGTCTTAAAGATGAGTCTGGTGGTTGAGGGAAAGAAGGAAGGAGCAGCATGGGAAGAAGGAGCAGCAGAAAATTGGTGGTTGATTTGTGACCCATGGGACGCTGGGTCATGTCCATTGTCCCCAATGTATGCCCCCAAGTCTGATCCCCCTCAGTGCCTCCTGACTCCTGGGAGTGTCACACCTAACTGAAATGAAGATTTGGGGTCTTGGTGTGAGGGGGACAGGGAAACTTGAGCATAAACTGCGATACAAAGACCACACTCAAGTCCTCTGGAAGTTCTTCCTGATCTTCTGATCGCCAGCTGAGGTGGCAGAATGAGATGGTGGAAAGGGATGAATCTCTAATAGCTCAACCGTGGGGGCAGTGACAGCACCCTTGAGCTGGGTGGAAGAATCTCAGGTAGAGGAAGGGGACGAATTGGGTGACCTATGACCTTTGACCCAAAAGGTTGAGACTGTAAGGCTATCAGATGTGTGATATGAGGGACAGGTGGAAGAAAGGCGAGGATTAGGGATTTGAAGATCTATGGATTTGGAGTGAAGAGCTCTGGAAAGAGCTATTTTTTTTTTTTATCTAAACTTACCTTTCACTGGCATACTCTTTAACATTATCTCTGCTTATTCTGCTCAGATATAAATTCAAAAGTTCTATCATCTTCCTACTGGAGCCGTTGGAAAGCTTGAACCACTCAGGGTGCAGCCTCCAAGGGAGAGGATTCAACCTGTGGAGGCCCAAGTTTAAAAGCTGCCATTGCTCTGCTCCTTCTGAGTTCAACAGGTAGAAAACACATGAAGGTCGGGAGGCAGGAATTGTGGAGGGGCTGAATTATTCCCCCTGGAGTGCTTAGTATTTCGTATGAAATGTTGCATATTAAGGTAGGCACACACATATCCCTATTAGTAATATAATATATCCAGAGTCCCCAAACCTAAGAGCCCTCCAAAAAGTAGATTGTCTTATTGTTTTTTTTCCTATTTGTTTGTATTGGTTATATTCTGGGTCTTTTAAAATGGGTCTTATAGGCGTCCATGGTGGCCTAGGGGTTAAGTCTCAGTGTCATCACCCCTATATCTGAGTTCCATCCCCTCCAGGGAGCTGATCCACATGGCGCAGCAGACCTCACCTGTCTTGCCCGCTGCTCCCCTCAGTCAATCTGCCTGTTCTGCTCCCCACTCTGTCTCTGGGAAACCCTCTTACCGACACCCCTGCCCCCCTAAACTGGCACCTCTAGCCTATACCTGAGTTCTTCTATGCAAACAAGTAAATAAATAATAAAATGATTCATTCAAAATAAAAATGGTTGTTAGCCTCTAGGGTAAAACTGTATGAAGATCCTGCCCAGCTTGAAGGCTTTACATTTATGATGGCACTTAATCTCGCTAATGCTATGAGATAACTCCTATTACTAATCTGATTTTGAGATGAAGAAAGATGCAGTCTAGTGAATTTTGGTTAGTTGTTTAGCCAAGATCATGTAGCCAGGATTTTAATCTATGTCTGACTCAAGACTCAATCACTTCCTTATTTAGAAATAGGTACTCTATTGGCTACACATCAATATACAAAAGATACTGTTTCATTCCTATATGCTAATCATGAACTGAAAAAGAAAGAAATCAAGCAAACAATCCTATTTAAAGTACCATCAAAAAGGCCCTCCCTGGTGGCGCAGCGGGTTGAAGCGCAGCACTGAGAATCTGAAGCCACTTCCGCATGAGTTCGATTCCCGCCTGCCGCCTGGTGACCCACATGGCGCAGCAGACCTCTCCTGACCCGCTCGCTGCTCCCCTCAGCAGTGTTCTTTGCCAGTCGGCCTGTTCTGCTCCCCACTCTGTCTCTGGTGAAGCCTCTCACCGCCCCTGAGCCTCTGGCCTGTACCCCAGTTCTGTATGAATAAATAAATAAATCTTAAAAAAAAAAAAAAAAAAAACCCTAAAGTACCATCAAAATGTACCAAGTAAGGGCCCTCTCTGGTGGCACTTTGGCTTAAAGCACAGCACTGGGAAGCTAGCCGCAGCCGCCTCAGCACAAGTTCGATCTCTGGCCTCAGAGATGACCCACATGGCGCAGCAGACCTCTCCTGACCCGCTCGCTGCTCCCCTCAGCAGTGTTCTTTGCCAATCGGCCTGTTCTGCTCCCCACTCTGTCTCTGGTGAATCCTCTCACTGCCCTACACCTCTGACCTGTACCCCAGTTCTGTGTGCATAAATAAATATTTTTTAAAATTAAACTTTACCTGTATCAAGTAGGAATAAATCTAAAAAAGAAGGTAGACGATCTATTCCATAAAATATATAAGAGATTGCTAGGGGGCATAGAAGACACAAGGCCTGGCTTGAGGAACACCAATTAGTCCTCTGGACTCTGCACTCTGGACTCAGCACCAAGCTCTGTGAACTCCATCCTTCATCCCATGTGACAGAGCACATTGGTGCTTCCTACATCCATCACGCAGCTGCCAGCAACCACGCTGATGTGCCAGACCACTCTGCATTTCCCCACCCCCTCTCGCCTATATAACAGAGAGGGGGCCATGGATTCCTATGAGCTGACCATTCATGGGCAACTGTGACCTATTTACAATGTGCAGACCACGGCTGAGCATTCCTTTACTACCTAGAGAGTATAGCCCAAGGCAGGCCTGAGATGACCGGAGCCACTGTTGACCTGATTATGTGACCATCTCCATGGCAGTCTCAGGATAACTCTGCCTGTGATCACATCGTACTTTGCTGATGCAAATGTCTTTTGACGTATGGTCATGATGTGCCCTTCCCTGTCCCTCATCAAATTTTGTCCCCCATTCCTATCCCACTTTCCAGACCTTATTTCTCAGACCACTGTTGCATGATCGGCTTTTACTAGCTGTGTGATTTCCATACATGGCACAAGAACTTCTGCTCAAGTAGCAGCGTCTGGCCTTGCAAACCTGCTCCAGACTGCTGCATCTCTGATCCCCTTTCTACTGCCAAGTGGCAACAAAGTTCCTGTTGCAAGAAGGAAATGGAAAGAGGTTTCCTACTGTGGATTGGAATAATTAACTTTATTAAATGGCCTCTTGCAAAGCAATATTGAGATTAAATGCAACCTTATGGAAATTTCAGTGGACTTGTTCAAATCAACAAAGCAAACATTACTGAAACTAATAAGGAGCCACAGAAGACCCCAAATGGCCAAAGCAACCTTAACAAAAAAGAAAAGGAATGAAAATATCACATATCACACTCCCAGTATGGTATTGGAAAAACACACACACACACACATGCATACACACAACTGAGGGTCCAGGGCCCTCTCTGGTGGCTCAGCGGGTTAAAGCATAGTGCTAAGAAGCTCTCCACAACCACTGCAGCATGAGTTCGATCCAGCCAGGGAGCTGACCCACATGGCCCAGCAGACCTCTCCTGTCCTGCCCACTGCTCCCCTCAGCAGTGTATTTCAGTACATTTGCCTGTTCTGCACGCCCCCATTTTTTATCCCATTCCCTACTCCACCCCCATAAAATGTCTCTGGCATATAGCTGTTCATTATTATTATTATTTTCTCCCCTGCTCCTTTATATTCCTGCTATGAGTGAAATCATCAGGTATTTTTCCTTTTATTTCTGGCTTATCTCACTAAGCATGATCCCTTCCAGCTCCATCCATGTCGCTGCAAAAAGCATGTGTTTATCTTTTTGGTTGCTGAGTAATATTCCACTGTGTATATGTACCACACCTTTTTAATCCAATTATCTATTTTTGGGCATTTGGGTTGATTCTATGTCTTTCCTATTGTGAATAAAGCAGCAATAAACATGGGGGTGCAGGTGTCTTTTTGAATGAGTGTTTTTGTGTCTTTTGGGTAGATACCTAGGAGTGGGATTGCTGGGTCGTAGGGAAGCTCCGTGTTTAGCAGTTTGAGGAACCTCCAAACAGTTTCCCATAATGTACTCGTTTGTATTCCCACCAGCAATGCAGGAGAGTTCCTTTTTCTCCACATCCTCGCCAACATTTGTTGCTGCTAGTTGTTTGAAGATGTGCCATTCTCACTGGGGTGAGGTGGTATCTCATTGTGGTTTTAATTTGCATCTTATTACAAGTGATGTTGAACATTTTTTCATATGCTTGTTGGCCATCTGCATTTCCTCTTTGGAGAAGTGTCTTTTTAGCTCTTCTCCCCATTTTCTGGTGGAGTTGTTTACTATATTTTTGTTGTGTTTCATGAGTTTTTGGTATATCTTTGTGCTCAATCCTTAATAGCTAGTTTTGTGTGAGAAAAATTTGTTCCCAATCAGTGGGATGTCAATTTGTCTTTTGTAATGTCTCTTTTGCTGTATAGAAGCTCTTTAACTTGATATAGTCCCATCTATTTATCCTTTCCTTGGGTGCTGTATCTTCAAAGACGTTACTGAAGTGTATGTCTTATAGAGTGAAGCCATTAACTCTTATGGGTGGTGCCCCCTACAGGGGGGAGCATGCCAGGAAAATGCTAAAAATGGGGTGAAGCAATGGAAAATGTATATGAGACTAAAAATACAGGCCTGAAGAGCTCTGTGTACATGCATGAGAGAGAGCTCTCCACTCAAGAGAGGAGCTCCATGCACGGGAGAAAGCTGAGAGAGAGAGAAAAGCTGTAAAGGGAGTGGCGGCTGCCAAGGCGGAGGAGACTGGAGCCTGGCGTCATGCTATAATGCGTGAGTGTGGACATTTGCTGGGTAATTCCGCCACTACAGCTGCTGAATATCGTTTGTCTGGTCTGTGCTGGTGCATCCTGGCAGCCCACGGAGCAGCTCCTGTTGCATCCTCTGCTGGGTCTGTGAATCAGGTCCTGGTCTAAGCCTTAATAGTCTTGCAATTTTGTAAAGGTGAAGAACCCAGACAGTAACCGGTAAATTCTTTCAGCGAGGAGCCTTGGCAAGCATAGTATCAGGTATAGGGGTGTGAGGCACATCTGAGAAGGGGTGAAACTACTCCCCCAAGTGACATGCAACTCCAAACCAATACTACCTCAATCGTTAAAAATTAATAGGCGCCCTCGTGGGTCCTGGTGACCACTCTCCCCCGGAAGCCTCGGATTCAGAAAGACAGCTAACACTTCTTACACTGACAAGTCAAACTGTGCGCAGTAAAAATATCCTATTGTCCTGTCAGTACTTGCTCCTGGGGGGATTTTGCTCCCCCAGGTGTGGAGTCCACATAGAGGAAGTGGATAGATCCTCAAACATGAGGACTTGAGGGTGGAGCTGGGTGAGCTCCAGGCTGTGCCTGTCATGAGGTCTGGACTCGGGATTTCCTCTAAAATGTAGAGACCCTAGGTTCCCAGTCTCCCTCATCAGGTCTCCAAAGGAGTGGTGCACACTTGTGACAGCTGTAAGTTTACACTCAGTCCTGTCCCAGCTACACTGTAGCAGCTCTTTCTATGAAGACAGAGACTCATTAAAATTACTTCAAATAAAGGAAAGTTTATTGGAACAACATATGTATAAATAAGGAACACCGTTTGCTAAGAAGCTCTGGCAAGGTGGGGGGATTGGTGGAGGGGTCACTGTAGGAAGAAGTGGAGACTCAAAAGCTGTTAACAATAATGGCATGCTGCTGGTAACACAGAGCTCATTCTGGCCAGTCACAAATCTTTTTTTTTTTTTAAAGATTTATTTATTTATTCGTACAGAACTGGGGTACAGGCCAGAGATGCGGAGGGTAAGAGGATTCACCAGAGACAGAGCAGGGAGCAGAACAGGCAGATTGACGAAGTACACTGCTGAGGGGAGCAGCAGGCGGGTCAGGAGAGGTCTGCCGCGCCATGTGGATCTCCTCCAGCGCAGGCGGGGATTGAACTCATGCGGAAATGGCTTTAGCTTCTTAGTGCTGTGCTTTAACCCGCTGCGCCACCAGGGAGGGCCAGCAGCAAATCTTTTATGCATTAATTCATTTACCTCACAAACACCCCAGGAGGTAGGTACTATTATTGAAGGCCCGTTTTTACATGAGAGCTGAGGCCTATGGAGGTGGGGCCATAGCAGTGGCACACACTAGACACTAGTGACACATGGGTGCAGATGGCTTGACTCCCAAGTCCCATTATGTAACACACTCCTGTATGTTGTCCTTCCAGGAGCTGGGAGGAAGAGGTCTTGAGGGCCGAGTAGCCTCAGAGGCCGCATTATCATACATCAGATCTATCGTGTGGCTCTGCTTTGCTCTGCTATTTGTGTACGAGGCTCATTGTGGATGTAGTTTGAATTTTCAAGGGTGTCTGATTGCTCAGATAATTATTCTGGTCCTTCCTTGGTGAGAGCACGTTTGGAGACCACATCACAGACTCGGCTGGTCAGCCGTCTGATGGACAGAAGCCCGCCTGGCCTAATCATGTGTAGTCATCTGGAGCAGGGTGGGCCAGGCAGGGCCAAGCCCCTAAAAGCTTCCTGAACCCTGGAGCTCATCTGTCTCCTTCCACTCTGGCAGGATTCTTTTGGACAAATCCTTGTGTGACGTTAACCCAATCAGGACAAGGAATTGTTAGTAGTCACCTCCAGGGGTGTGATTTCCTTGGCTAATGTCCTGTTCTTAGATTTGGGGTCTCATGTTTCTGTGACACCTACAGCTTCCCGCTTTGTCTTTCTGAGCACATACGAAGCTCCTCTCCTTCCTTTCTCCCAAACCCCACTCATAACTTCAGTTTACCTGGCACTGAGGGGACACTTATTACCTCAGTTCCTTGAGGCAGGTAATGAAGCTGAAATGAGTCCGCTACTTAGGTTCTCACAGAGCTCTATGCAATCAACGTGTTTACTTAGCTGGATTCTCATCTGCTGGCTCAACTGGGGAAAAATTCTCTTGCAAATTCACTTATGCTGTTAGTGGAGTTAATTTTCTTGTAGCTACAAGTTGAGAGTTCTGTTTATTTTTTTAAAGATTTATTTATTTATGCATTGGGGTACAAGTCAGAGGTACAGGGGATGAGAGGATTCACCAGAGACAGAGTGGGGAACTGAACAGGTGGATTGACTGAAATACACTGCTGAAGAGAGCAGTGGGCGAGACGGGAGAGGTCTGCCATGCCATGTGGGTCAGCTCCCTGCTTGGGGATTGAACTCATGCTGCAGTGGCTGCAGAAAACTTCAGTGTTGTGCTTTAACCCCTTGCACCACCAAAGAGCCCTTAAGATTTATTTATTAATGCATACAAGAGCCGGGGTATAGGCTAGAGGTGCAGGAGGAGGGGGTGAGAGGATTCACGAGAGACAGAGCGGGGAGCAGAACAGGCAGATCTACTGAAATACACTGCTGAGGGGAGCAGCAGTTAAGACAGGAGAGGTCTGCTGCACCATGTGGGTCAGCTCCCCAGCTGAAGATTGAACCCGTGCTACAGTGGCTGCAGAAAGTCTCATAGTGCTGTGCTTTAACCCCTTGCACCACCAAGGAGGCCCAGGTTCTGCTTCCTGTTGGCTGGAGGCTGGAGGCTGCCCTCAGCTTTTAGCGGCTGCCTGCTGATCCTTGCCAACGGGTCATTTCATTAACAAATCCCTCTCCCCAGGAGAGTCTCAGAGTGAGTTTGCTAGAAAGGAGCATCCCATACAATGTAACAGGTCACTGAAGTGACATCCCAGCCCCCTTGTCATGTAACATAACCCAGTCACACGAGTGCTATTCCATGTCCTGTGCATAGAGTATAACCCAATCATGGAAGTGAGCCCTCCACCCTTGGCCCTGTATCACTACTGAGCAATGGAAGTGACGTCACATCCCCTCTGCCGTATTCCACTAATTACAAACATGTCACAGTTTCTCTTTTCAAGTGAGAAAGATCACACAGACAACACTGAGGGGTGAGGGTGTGGGGGGCCTGCTCTAGAATCTGTCCCCCCCACAAAAGCAATGACTTGGGGACCAGGTGTGTTACAGACACCAGGTGCTGCAGGACTTCAAGGAATGTTCTTCCCATTGTCCGGCTCCATGGGTAAACGTATCCTCGCCACTGGTGAGCGGATGCCACCCAGGTACCTGAGCACTCCAGTTTTAATGAGACTGGGAGAGATGGGCGCTCCCATCAGTTCCCAGGCAGTAGGTAGGTCTTGGATCCCGACCCCTGCAGTGCAAGCCACAGACATGAGCCTGGTTCAAAAAGAGGCTGTAGCTCTCGTCCAGTCCTGGGGTTGCAGGGCCAGGCACCAACCAAGTCATGGCTGTAGGGCTGAGGAGGAAGCCGGGCTCAGGTGCGGATGGGGTTGCAGGTGCATTGGGTAGACATAATGGGGGGCCGCACAGGTTGGAGGAAGGAGACTGAGGTGAGTCTGAGGTGAAGTGGCCCCAGGGTGAATTGGTGAGAGCAGTTGAGGATGGCTAAGGAAGTGATTCACTGATTCTTTTCTGTCTTGGGATAAATAGCCTCTAACAGCGAAGCACTCCTAGAAACAAAGAAACCCTTAGTGGACAATGCTGAGTGGCCTGCTGGCCAGGTAGTGAAGTCACGCGTTAATGGAGCAGTGGCCCTCCAGGACCCTGATACAGGTGAGTGTGTGTGTGTGTGTGTGTGTGTGTGTGTGTGTAGGGATAAGCACATGTGGAAGGTGGGCTGGGTCGTACCTGTCCAACAAATCACTGGCATCCTAGGAGAGAGAAAGGGTGGGGGTCACATCAGTTCTCAGCTTCCTGCCTCCTTCACATTCCCTCCCAGTATACCCCTTGCTGGATGCCACAGGGGCGTTTCCTGTGAACCAGAGGGGATAGCACCCCTGTTTGCACCCCACCCTGCTGCAGTTGCATTGTGCAGCTCTGGACAAGCCACCACCACAGTTCACAGAAAAGCCTCTTCCACCCCCCAGAAGAGGCCACAGGTGGGCTGCCCATGGTGTGGGAGGACCCCAGTCTCTGGGAGGTGCCTTGGGGCACGTACCTTCAGCTTGCTGGCGTCCAGCTCCTTGGCCATCCTCTCCATAACAGTGACTAGGATGTCCAGCTCTTCTTCCGGGGTTCTGGGTGCCTCTGCTGGTACGTCCTCTGGCTGGTCCGGCCACTGGTGATGTTGGGGGAAAGGATGTCCTGCAGGAACTCCCCAGGTGTTGTGGGCCCCACCCCACTCCAGACCAGAGCCATCAGGACAGGGGAAACTACAGATCCCGTGTCATCATCGCGGAAGGGCGGATGCTGGGAGCTGAGGTGAAGCTAAGCAGCCCGGTTTGGTATAAACCAGACACGTGGGCCTCGGAGGGGGCCTGTTCCTCCTGCATCCCCTGACCCTCCTGCTCCTCTTGGCTTTTGGCTCTCACCAGCTCTCAGCAGCCACTGGGATTCCAAGTTGGTGGAACTGGCAGTGGTCCCCAGGAAAAGGGGAAGTTCCAGGTTCCCTGCCCCACCCAGAGGAGGGTGGAGCTGAGCAGAGAAGAGAAAGAATCTGAAGAAGGAGGAAGCAGGATGGAGGCCAGGAGACCTGAGGAAGCCACATGGAGCAGAGAGACATGTGAAGAAACTTTGCTTGCTTCCTGGTCCTAGACTGGTTGAAAGAGATGTGGGTGAGCGGCCCTTGGGGAGATGACTATGGCAGTGTTTATATTGATTTTGATTTTACTCTTTTCCTCCCAGACTTGTCTGGCCATGTCTGACCCTTTTCCATGGTCCCGGCCAGAAGGTGCTTTAGTCTAGTGGCAACTTTCAGGCCTTGCTTTGGACCAACCCCTTTTGGGTTGACTTTTGCCTATGAGGGGAAGGGTAACTTCAGGTGTTTGATTTAGAAATTATATTCTTTGCCTTTTCTGTGTTGTATACTCATTGTATTAATGTTCCTTTCCATTAAAACTCCTATGTCTTGTATTGATGCGGCAGATGGCAGAACCTATTTAGAGCAGGCAGGTTTGGGGGCTCAGGGGTGTCCCTCTCTCCCTGCCCTGTAACAGTAGGATGAATTTACCAATTTATCTCCCGGAAATATTCATTTCCTCATTTCCCGTATTTCTGTAAATAAGCCCTTCATTAACCTTTGTGTGTGCCTGCACTTGAGTCTTACTGTAAGTCACTTTAAGCGCACGGGTGAGGACCCGCAGTCAGGCACCCACTTCATAGTGGGGGCTGCCCTGTCACATTGAGAGAGGGTGTCTGGCTATCTGCTGGCTCTGTGTTGGTTGTCTAGCTCAGCCTCCAGCCTGTGGGTGCCACAGTCTACCTGAAGCTACAACGAAGAACACCCTTAAGTTCAATGTCAGATGTCTCCCTCTGGCCCTTCAGTCTGAGTACTATGATGGAGAATGTGGCCTTCCCAGTCTCTTCCCCTCAAGGCGTTGCTTCTGCCACCACAGGTCACAGACACTTCCTGTCCCTACTTCACTTCCTTACGAATATTTACAGAAGCCGGTGGGCACCCATACCCACACCCATGCAGCTCTATTCTCTCACTATCCTTTCAGGTTGCAGGGTGAGGAGAGACCCCCACATGTAGTTGAGCGAGAGCCACAGAAAGCTAGACCATTAACGACAGAGGCAGCAGTGTGCAGACTGAGGAGAAACTGTCAACTAAGGAGCCGCTGGCCTCCTTTGTTCCTCCTGGCAGCCAGGTGGAGCAGGTGGGCTGTGGCTGAACATGCGAACCACAGGAGGGCCTTTACATGCCTTAGGTCACTCGGCCAGTGAACCCCAAAGCTGAGCCCAGCACCCAGGTTTCCAGCCTCCAGGACACCAGCCTCCCACCCCACCCCCCATCAGACTTCCCCAGGGGGACAGATGGTCAGAATTTGGAACAAGAGCTGTGAGACCCCGAGGTCCCCGCAAATCCCACCTGCACAGTCTGCTGTTTCTCCTCCTCCAGAGCCCTGGGCTGTAGCTGTTCTCTGTTGAGATCCCCCAGGGCCTTTCTGACCTTCCTGCTCTTGCGGGAGAGTCGTTCCTAGAGAAAGAGACACACCTGCTTGTCAGACTGGGGGTGAGGTGGCATGGGCTGAAGCCCTTCCCTAGAATGGTTCCCAGATGAAGCTAGAGTCAGTGTCTGCCTACTCTCCAGAGCCCCTGAGCTGCTGTGCATTCGGAACATGAGAGGTGCTTAATGGCGAGCAGTGGAGGAAAAGCAATGCGCATTAGTTCTTATACAAACCAATTAGTTTTTATACAAAAATAATACAGTAACTCTTCACTTCGTTTTTGGATGTTTCCCCTCTACACCTATAAGCTATGTGCTGGTCACTAGCAATTCTTATTGTTACACATCAACAAATGAAGCCAGTCTGGAAAGAGTGACGTACAGCAAAGATGAAAAACCTCTGTGCCAGCCCCCACCCTGGCAGGTTAGGGGGCAAAGCCCCAGCCCACAAGCGCTTGTGAGCCCCAAACTTAGACCACTGTGTGTGTCAGTCAAGGTGACTCTGAAGTTAAGGGTATCATGAATAATTTCAACTTCTAAAGATTTGGCTTTCAAGTAGGCCAGCGATGTTCATACAGAAACAGACCTTTGATCAAGGTGGGAGAAAGGGGCTGGGTGGAGGGAATGTCAACAAATGACTCTGGAAACATTTTTGTTAGTTACAAAATGTATTTGACCTTAACCAAAAAAAAAAGACATAGAAAGCACAGTCTTAAAACAGCATACTGTTTTAAGGTACTGGGCTCCCCTGGTGGCACAGGGGTTAAAGACAGCACTAGCAAGCTACTGCCAGTCACTGCAGCACGAGTTCGAGGCCTGGCCAGGGAGCTGACACACATGGCACAGCAGACCTCTCCTGACCTACCCACTGCTCCCCTCAGTGATGTATTTCAGTCAATCTGCCTATTCTGTCCCCCACTCTCTCTGGTGAATCCTCTCACACCCCTGTGCCTCTGGCTTACATCTCAGTTCTTGTATGCATAAATAAATAAATCTTAAAAAAAAAAAAAGACAAACTAGTATGATACCAGTACAAAAGTCAATGGAAATGGCAGGTGAAAGCACATGAGGACAGACCCATGTTACAAAAGAAATTAAAAAGTCAAATGCTGCCCTCCCTGGTGGTGCAGCAGGTTAAAGCACACTAAGAAGCTAAAGCCACTTTGGCATGATTTCGACCCCTGCCTGCCCCGGAGGTGACCACATGGTGTGGCAGACCTCTCCTGACCCACCTGCTGCTCCCCTCAGCAGTGTGCTTCCTCAATCTGCCTGTTCTGCTCCCCACTCTGTCTCTGGTGAATCCTTTCACTGCTCCTGCACCTCTGGCCTGTACCCCAGCTCTGTATGCACAAATAAATAAATATTAAAAAAAAAGTCAAATGAAGTATTTAAATCAGTGGGAGAAGGGGTAGAACCTGGAGAAGATGGTATTGAAAAAAACTGGCTTGTTATAATAAGGAAAAATAAAGGTGAGTCCTAACCTAGAATCATAGTGAAGGTAGATTCTGAGATGACTAATGTGTAAGAGGTAAAACTACACAGTTATTACAAAATAATGTCAGACAACACATTTGTAGCCTGTGGGTAGGGAAGGATTTCTTCAAACAAAAGTATAAGCCATGTGGATATTACTTAATTTGATTACACAGAAGTGAAATATTTCTGGTCAATGACACCACCATGGACAAAATTTAGAAGTAATGACAGACTAGATGATGTCTTTCATGTCTAAAACCAAGCAGAGACTGAAAGGTAGATACCCACAATAATTGAAACCTACAAATAAATAAGGAGACAGGAACCCAAGAGAAAATTTTGCAGAGTATGAACATTTACAAGCATACCTCAGAGATATCATGGGTTTGATTCTAGACCGCAGTCTCAAAGAAAATATAGCAATTAAGTGAGTCACACGGTTTTTTGGTTTCCTGGTATTTATAAAAGTTATATGAAATTGTAGTTTATTAAGTCTGCAATAGCATACTTAACTGCATATTTTCTTTTAAGATTTATTTATTCATACAAAATTGGAGTACAGGCCAGAGATGCGGAGGGTGAGAGGCTTCACCAGAGACAGAGCAGGGAGCAGAGCAGGCAGATCTACGAAGTACACTGCTGAGGGGAGCAGTGGGCGGGTCAGGAGAGGTCTGCCACGCCATGTGGATCTCCTCCAGGGGAGGCGGGGATCGAACTCATGCGGAAGTGGCTTAAGCTTCTTAGTGCTGTGCTTTAACCCGCTGCGCCACCAGGGAGGGCCCTTAACTGCATATTTTCTAAAGAAATAATGTACATACTTTCTCTAAGTATGACTGACACAAAGTGAACACATGTTGTTGGGAAAATTATCAACAGTAGACTTGCTCCACAGGGGTTCCACAAAACTTTCATTTAAAATAAAATTTAGCGCCAGAGGCCTTCCTGGTGGCAAAGAATTAAAGCCTTAGTGCTGTCAAGCTATCACCAGCCACTGTGGCATGAGTTTAGTCAGGAAGTTGACCCACATGGCGCAGCAGAACTCTAGTCTTGCGAGCTACACCCTTCAGCGGTGTATTTCAGTTGACGGACCTGGTATGCTCCCCACTCTGTCTCTGGAAAATCCTCTCACCCCCACACCTCTGGCCTACACCCCAATTCTTGTATGCATAAATAAAAATAAATCTTTAAAAATAACTCAATGTCAGTGAAGTGTTGTGAAGTCTGTGAGGAATGCCCGCAATTCACAGAAGAGGGAAGAAGAACAACTAAAGAGACGATGAGTCAATGGCCAAACTTATCAGTGATCAGAGAAATAGTGAGTAATAAAAAATGAAATGAAAAAGTATTTCACAGCCATCACATTGTTACAGGACAGGGAGAGGGGCACCACTGAACCCCAAACCTGCCTGCTCTAAGTGGGTTCTGCCATCTGCCGCATCGAGACAAAACATATAAAACTTTAACGAAACTTTAAATACAATGAGTATGAAACACAGAAGACAAAGAATGTAACTTCTAAATCAAACACCTGAAGTGACCCATCCCCTCGTGGGCTAAAGCCCACCCAAAAGGGATTGGCCCAAAGCAAGGCCTGAAAGCTGCCACAAGACTAAAGCACCTTCTGGCCGGGACCCATGGAAAAGGTCAGAAATGGCCAAACAAGTCTGGGAGGAAAAGAGCAAAATCAAAATCAATATAAACACTGCCATAGTCACCTCCCTACAGGTATCTCACCCACATCTGCCTTCACCAGTCCAGGGTCAGGAAACAAGCACGGTTTCTTTATCACATGCTTGCTGCTCCATGTGGTTTCCTCAGGTCTCCTTCTTGTTCTCCATCCTACTTCCTTCTTTTCTATCCAGATTCCTGTCCCTTCTCTCTTTTTTCTCTGCTCAGCTCCACCCTCCTTCTGGGTGGGGCAGGGAACCTGGAACTTCCCTTTTTCCTGGGGACCACCCTGTTACAACATGAACAAGAGTTAGGCAACTGGACAAGCCTGGGGTGGGGAGTCTTTGTATCCTCTGCCAGTCTGGAGACACCTAGCGGACTCTCCTCTGTATCCAGAGGCCCTGCCCACCCCAGAGAGCTCCTCACTTACGTGCAGAGGAAGCACATAGCATACAGGAACAGAGAGCTGGAATCCCAGGAATGGGTGAATAACAGGGACAGATGCCCACCACAGGAAACTATGTAGCTGTCAGAAACAAGGGGTCGTGTGACAAGCAAGACATGGAACGATCTTACAGTCCTGGTAGATTCACCTGAGGGGAGAAATTCTACATTTAAAAAAAGAAGGGTCCCATAGCATGGAAACAAACTGGGAGAGGTGGGTTGGAGGGGATGACTTTGAAAGTGCTTTATGGCCCTCCTTTCTGTGGATGAACTCAAGGTCAAAGGTCGGTGGGCCATAGAGGAGCAAGAACATTTGGCAAACAAAAAACTCGGTGAGCAGAGAGACAATGACAAGTAAGTCATTAAGGCTCTGTCGGGCACTGGGTGTTACCCGCAGGCATTTCCCAGCAGAGAAGGAGAGATATAGCAGCCAGAGGAATGGGAGCAGTAACTGGCCATGGGTTCCACTCATGGTCTTGATGGGAAAAGGGAAGGTGGGGTTGGTTTAGGGAGCTGTTTGTATGAGCAAGTTCCGGTCTCTCAAACTTACACAAGCAAACCAAGCTTTCCTCATTTGCACAACTGAATTTCTCCTGCGAATACTCAGTTCCTGCTGTCTTCAGTTCTGGCTCAGCCCCTTGACACTTCAGTCACCTGCTTAGTTTCTCATTACTCTTGAAACTTCTCAGCCCTGGTCGCCAGTGAGCTCCAGAATAAAATCAGAGATGCAGTCCTCTTGAAACAGGGTGGTCCCTAGGAAAAGGGGAAGTTCCAGGTTCCCTGCCTCACCCAGGAGGAGGGTGGAGATGAGGAGAGAAGAGTAGAGAAGAGAAGGAATCTGAGGGGGAAGGAAGCAGAATGGAGAGCCTGAAGGAGACCTGAGGGAGCCCCATGGAGCAGAGAGACATGTGAAGAAACCGTGTTTGTTTCTTGGCCCTGGACTGTGTGACACAGATGTGGGTGAGAGAGCCGGGAGGTGACTATGGCAGTGTTTTTCTTGATTTTGATGTTGCTCTTTTCCTCCCAGATTTGTCTGGCCATTTCTGAACCTTTTCGATGGGTTCTGGCCAGAAGGTGCTTTAGTCTTGTGACAGCTTTCAGGCCTTGCATGGGGCCAACCCCTTTTGGGTGGGCTTTAGCCCACGAGGGGATGGGTAACTTCAGGTGTTTGATGTAAACATTACATTCTTTGTCTTCTGTGTTGTATACTCACTGTATTAAAGTTCCTTTCCATTAAGCTCTTATGTCTTGTCTTGATGTGGTAGATGGCAGAACCTATTTAGAGCAGGTAGGTTTGGGGGTTCAGGGGTGTCCCTCTCTCCCTGCCCTGTAACACTCTCAGGCCTCCTCCTCTCGGAGGTAAACTTACTTTCCACTCCCACCCCATGGTCCCTGCCCCCACCTCACCTCCTTTCTGAACTTACAGAGGGGGTTTCGTTTTC